ACTTGGGGCTGTTGCACTTGATCTGGTAAAGACTCATGAGCACATGGAATCTGAACAGCATTTTCAAAGTATGAATTCATCCCATCCTTTCCATCTGATGCTTCAGAGCCTTGTTTTGATCCCAAAACCTCAAGTACATTGATTTTTGCTATTGCAGCTGCAAGTTCTGTTTCCAGTTCCAGTTGTTCTTGCCTTTTTTTTAATTGTTCTTGTTGTGCCTCAAGCTCATGCTTTTTAGTTAGGGCTGCGACCCGTTCTATGATAGCAGCTCTTTCTGCTTCTGCCTTTATGCGAGCATATGAAGTGGCTGAAGTGCTTGATGCACGAGACTTTGATTTAGCCTTTGATGTTGGGGCATTTGAAACACTGTCATTAGGGCAGATGTCATCAGAGTTTACAACACTGGGTTGCTTTCCATGTCCAACAATAGAGGATAAAGTCCTTTGACATCCATTTTTAACATTTGGTCCAATTTCACATAACCACATTTGCACATCCTGTCCAAAATCAGTACATTTGTCAATTGTTTGCTTAAGCCATTGACTTTGCTTTTCAAATTCCTTTTCCGGCAGAAAATCCTTAAGTGATTTTTGACATTCACATGCTTCATCACAAAGTTTGTTCATTTCATCCAAAAGACCTCTTATTCTAGTTGCATTTTCATTTGATTGCATGAGCTCTTTCATTGTTTCCATTAGCTTTTTGGATTGTTTGCATTTTGAGTTTCTTGATTTTTGAGTGTTTGCCAAAAGCAGCTCCAAACCCTTTGCAGTGTGTTTAATAACCCTTTTTTCCTTTTGAAGTTCCATACAAGTTTCATCTTCCATTTCCGTGCGTGGCTTAACACCGCCCTCTGGTGACTGAGGTTTAGAAAGACTTTTTGCCATGACATCTTCATCCATTTTCATTTGTTCAAACCACTTTGTTCAGACAAAGACACAGATGAAATCCTCTTTTGAAATTTCAAGCATTGATGATTTATTTTATTTCCACAGATGATAGGTTGCGTTCAGTTTGAGTTCACTAATGCATTGGTGGAGAATTCTCATTTTAATTAACGTCTTTGTGCGTAGGCGTGTCCATACGCTTCATTCATTCATGATTCCGGTTGTCAGGGAAACATTTGCTCCGCAGTCCGTGCACATAAACGTATTGCACAATTTTCTTGGAGTTGAATTGTTGTGTGCCCCACTTGACTTCACAACAAGCTGCCGACGTTCCTCATGCAGTTAAGTTTTTGACGAAATAATAGCGCAATCTTTCCAATAAAGATGCGTTTGGCTCTTGGTTCAGAAGCATCCAAGTTAGACTCGCTTGAGATCTGTTAGATGTTGTTTAATGTGACCATGTAATCAGCAAACTTTCTTTCCTCTTGTTCAAAACGCTTTATTTTCCAAAATCAAAACAAACTTAAATTTTCTTACCGCAACATGACGTGACAGGCAGATCATTTCGGCTCATTTCGTTGCTTTTTTGCCACTCAAAGAAAACAACAATAATCATCAGAAGCGGTCAAAAACTGTATGGCTGCGTTGACTGAATCCAAAAGCTCACCCGGCCCCAATAGCCAACTCCAATATAATCCAGGTGCTGCAGTCACCTGTCCATAATGAAGGGGCGGAGGCGAGAAACAACGTAAATTATGAATGGCAGCAAAACACAACTAAACAAATTCATAATTTCAAAATTAAGTCAGTCAACTTATACTTCAAACCAAAATATTTCATGTTCATATATATCGTACCAAAACCAGACAAAAAATAGTAAACTAGAAATAAATATTCAATCATAAATCAAGCATTTGGCTCCAACACTGTTATAATCTGCTTAATTAGTAATCTAAACTGATCTGCCCAATATAACTTTAAAAACATGTGTCTGTAACTTATCCCTGTATATTCTGTACTGTTGTGCATTTCCTTGGGTTCACTTCGCTTTAGTTATTTCTGCACCTTTAAAAACAATCAGAATATCTTTCTATAGAGACAGCAGAATCAGAAGGAGGTTGCATATTTTCATTAGCTCAGCTGGTTCTCTGCTGAGATGCTCCAGATAAATACCTGATCATTAAAAATCCGGTCCAAATAAAGAAAATCATCAACCAGTAAAGGTCCAGAGACATTTTTAATTATAATCTGTTACTTTAAACAGAATTTAACACTGAAATAGAATTGGGTTTTTAATGCATCCATGTTATTCATTGAATTTTTAAATAAAAAATATTTTAAAAAAAGTTTTTTTTTTTTAAGTAAAGAACAACAATCTTTCAGTTTGTTATACAATTTCCGGATTCACATATTTTATAAAACGCATGAACTGACCGTTTGTCTTTGTTGTCTTTTTTTTTTCTGGCTTAATGTTCGCAGTGGGCTTTATGCTGCCCTGCAAGGCTTTAAACCTGGGTTTGAATGGAGACAAAGCCATTCTAAAGCACATATCAAGGAGCTCATTTGAGCCTGGATCTATATTTGATTCTGTTCATGGTGGAGAATCCTGCTTCACAGGTTGAGCCAAACATATACACAGATGTGCAGGGTCATCTTTGAGCCCCATTTCACTTTTCTGTCACCAGTTCACCACAGTTCTTCCAGCGGTCCACACTTTCACTTTTTCCAATCATATTCTCTAGCAGCAGCAGCAACCCAGACTGACACAGCTCATTGGCTAATTTCTATCATGTGCAGCCCGGTCCTTTCTATACCTTCAGAATGAAAACTTCCCCAGCCTAACATTGATAGACATGTTCCATAGAAACTGATGATGCTCTGGATCTCTGGACCTTTATGGACAGCTGTCTTAACACTTCTGTTTTAAGCTACAATGGTTTGAAATTTTTTGGTATTTTGTGTTTAGAAAAAAACCCCCTCAGTTTCTGGAAACCCCTGACAAATATGGAATTGCAATGTTTTTGTGTCTCTGTTTTCTCCTGTGTTAGACGCAATGTTGTTCTTCCTGTTAGTTGTTTTGAACCAACTTAAACGCCCAGGCCTGATAACCACATGCTTGGAGTGTTCCCTTGACATTACTGTGCGAGGGATGTGCTTAAGGGGATTGGCCTCTGGGTGTTTATATACATCAACCATAGGTTGCAGAACTGAAAGTATTCCGGACTTTGTCAGTTCTGGAAAACTTGGCATAAATTGGGTTGCCTCAGATTTATATCCGTTTTGTAGATGTCATAACCTGCATGACCGAGACTTGGCACAGCCACATTTGACCTTGGTAGATTACTAGAGGGAATAGAGAACTAGGATGGTCTTTCAGTAGCAGTGAAACATACCTTGCACTGCAACATAACTTGCTGTGAAACAGTTTACAGAAGAGAGAAAAATGAGATGGCAAGAAATAAAATAAGATAAGGACAATACTGGCTTTTTCTGTTCCTCTTGACCACAAAGTTTATCCTCACTGTATGCAAATTACTTTGCAATGACAGTTGCATTAATGTGGTTTGAAGCGTTGTTTAACCCGTCAGCTGATCATTTACTAAGCAGACCGTGGAAATGAAGAACACATTCAGACAGAATTGGTTCAATTCAATTTATTGTTTCTGTGTAAAATGATCAGCTTATAGTTAAAAATAAAGATCACAACAGTGTAATTAAAAGCAAACATTGATTACCTAATTAATAACCTGATATGGATAAAACAAACATGTTATAGGTCTTAGAGTCAAAGAACACATCCAGAAACCCCAGCGTAACCCTTTTCAGATAGATTATTGATCAGATCACTGTAAAACCAAAACTTCAAAGGAAATATAACTTCCATTGATAAATGGATTAAACAGCAGGCTGTAAGGGCTCATAATAAATCAACAAAACTAATGCTGTTCAGACCTCAGATTGCAGGGAAACAGGTCTGTACAGGTGCATCATGGGAACTTGTGCTTAAAAGTAACAGTAAGAAAGTAGTAGCAGTATTTCTTCTGGGTCCATCAATAAACACATCCAATAATAACCAAAATATACACACTCACACAACTTATATAGAAATGATTAATAAAATGATTAACGACTGAGAAAACAGAATCAGACGTCTATTAAAATAGATTGCATCCCCACTTATAACTGATCAATAAATCCATAACTGAAAGCAATAAGTGATCAAGACTATTCCTTCATTAATTACTTTAATCACAGAATAAACAACAGTTTGACCATTTAATTAAAACCACCTGAGCTCTGATCCGTCATCTAATCAGCTCACCGATTAGTCACATCAAGCTTAAAGAAACAGTTTCTCTACTCACAGCCAATCAAAGGCTCTGCTCTGAACTCTGAGCAGAACCACAAAAGCGAACCAGTTATGGCTAAACTGATCAGTCAGTAACCAAGCTCTCTGCAGGTTCTGTGTGGTTTTGTCTGGATGAGGAATCTCCTTATCTATTAAGTTCTGATCATCTCTCAATAAGCTCTGGCTGTTTCTGGACTTTCAGGCAGATGTCAGAGCTTTCTGAATCTGGACTTGTTCAATGATTTAACCATCGGAAAAACATTCTAATTTCCTCTGAAACACAGAGCTTCACATGAGAACTAGATTAATGGGGAAGCAGAACCATAAGGCATCAATCCTTACAAAGATGGAGAGGAATTGGAGACATTAAAGATCAGCAGGCAGCAAATTTAAATGTTTCTATTTGAAAGGGACTAATGATCGATCAGGACCTTGATCATGTGGATAAAGAAGCACAGCAGAACCATCTGATTCTTTCCCAACAGATGATCAATAATAATTATCAATGACTTTGTTTCTGACAGGAAACCAGGAACTGATCAAGTCTGGAAACAGAAAGCAAACAAAAAACAAAACAACTAAAACACTAGACTGTGTGGTTTTAGCACAGGATTGATTCTTTTCAGAAAATTCATCAATATTTAGGGGTTCATGGTGGTAACCGTCTCTCAGGGTCCAATTAGTTATCAGGAGAGGACCAGATGTAATTTGGGCTGAGCTTTGATGGTGAAGTGTGTCTACAAATTAAATGGCTGCTTCAATGAGGTGGTGATCAGTGACAAAATCAGACAGGGCTCTGATGCTGTAAAAAGGAGAAAATATTTTATTGATGCCCTGGGATCTGCCTCAGAACTGAAGATCAGCCCATTCAGGCTTTAATTAACCATTTAAGGAATGATTGATCCAATTTTTGACCAGATCTTTGTCACCATAATAAATCCCAGTAAGAAATGAGAGATCAGTTTTGAGGCAGAGCCCCAGTGGATTCAGAGCACCTAGGCCTTTGGTTCTGGTCTGGGGCTCTCAGGAATGCTCATCGAGTCCTGAGATGACAGCTCATCCCTGTCGGGGATAAGCCCCTGCTTGTCACTAGGAGACAAAGACAGAAAGAGTTTTAGTTAGACAATGTAAACAGGTGACCTTTTGAGTGATGCAAACACCATCCCACAGGGGGTAATGCTGCACTCTAAGCTTACCTAATGGTGGAGTAACTACGGGACAGACGGCGGCGTCTCAGCGTGATGACGACCAGCGTGGCAAGCAGCAGAGCAGAGATGGCAGCCAGAGTGACAAAGAGGAAGGCAGCTTCAAGAGAGAGAAGAAGATGATCAGATTTCTGTTTTTTGTTTTAAAACACACCTCACAGGAAGTTCTTTATTGATAAACTTTGGGGTCATTATAGACCCATTACTCCAGAATTATATTGACTTTTTCTTTTCCATCTGTAAAATAATTCTGAATTCAAGATATTCAGATTGTTTTCCACATGTATTAAAAATTCTTCCTGTACATTTTAATATCTAAAATGACAGAAGAACAAAAGGCCAAATCTAACATTCATATACATCTATATGCTGATGACACCATTATATCCTTCCACATTTCCTACCCAACTAACAGAACAATTTAAATCAGGAATGTCCCGATACCAAATCTTCTCAACCACAAACATTTTAGTACCTTGTGATGCAGCGTACGGATTCAATACTTAAAAGTTAGTCATCATGAAGAGTTTATCATATTCAGACAGGTAGACTTATGCGCTGGTGAAGATTCTCAGTCATCCAGGTCATTGTCGTTCCAAAAAAGAAAGTTAAAAACAATCCACTGGACTTTGTTTCCAAGTTTGAAGATGTTTCGCTTCCCATCCAGAAAGCTTTTTCAATTCTAAATGTCAGGAATCAAGTTGAGTTCGAGGTTTTATACAGTAGCCCAAAAAAAGGCTTGTTTTTTGTTTCGAAAACATGCAAATCAGAACAGACGAAGGGGTCCACCCCTTTGAAACGGGGATGTTTGGCTTCTTTTGTTAGACTGCAATACCCCAGCCCCATCCAAGTATCTGAAAAAAGGGTCATTAGAGGGCATTGTCGGCCTCGCTGAATAGGTGAGGTCCTCTGCTCTCCTGTACAGGGGCTGTGATGATGGCAGGAAGGGATTAACTCAATCGCTGCAATGTAGGTGTTTGAAAGCTGGAACCAGAGTCCACCCTCTCTGTTTAAGGGCGTGGACTCAGCCCCTTAAACACTACCTTACAGTTCAATTGAGATCTCTTTATTCCTTCTAACTCTTCATGACAAGTTTGCTGAAATAACTTGCAGGAGGCCCTTATTTAGCCTAATTTTAATGATGCTGTTTTTTTTCGAAGCAGCGATCTGTGCTTACAGACCCGTCTGGATGTTTAGATAACTGGCAAATTCATCTGTAAACTAGCTGGGAGGGGGGTTGCATTTTTAGTTACCGGTATTTACTTGGCCAAGCAAAAGGTATTGATCCATCACAGGTACCTGGTTCCGCTCTCAATAACTAATTAGTTTTGCAAAGAAGTTGAGCCCATATTTACAGGTAAAAAAAAATAATTACAAGCTGAACTTCATCTAAACTCAGGACAGTCCCATTAAGATTATTAAATCTATCGCCTCTTGATTGACCGCAGCAGTTCCTAAACAGATAGAGCTGATTGTGGAGGTGGCTGTGATCGATGCCAGAATCTTTGGAGAGAAATTTTGAAATGTCAGAATCAACACAATGGAAGAACCCAGAGGAAATCACCTGCGGTCCATCGGCTTTTGGTTTTACCACGACTATCGAACAAACCTACAAGAGAAGGAAAAGGAAATCCTGAGAGACATTTCTCAACCCAGGTAAAACATTTAGTAGGTAGTAGTTTAGATACAAAACCTAAAAGATTCAGACTGCACTCCTGTGGTACTGCTGTAGAAACTTAAACCAGTCAGGCTAGCAGATCAGGGTGTCAGTGATAAAAAGCGTGTAGTTACCTGCTCCGGAGCAAGCAGCCATGCACTCCTCTATGGTGTTGAAGTTGTTGGCATTCCCTCCACAACCGCCGTACACGAAACTCTGGCAGGAGGCTGTGTCTGGGTCATAGTAGAACTTTGGGAAGTAGGCCCGGCAGAGTCCACCCTCAGGACTCAAAGAGCAGCGCTCTGACACAGAGACACAAAAATGAACCACTGTGTCCCTGGATCTGATCAAAACCACCACAGCCATCAGGATGCCCGGCTAACTCTCTCACCTGCAGAAGCTTCTTTATCTTCTGGGACCTTCTTGGAGGAAGGCAGTACAGAGATTCCTACATACAGAAAATGACGATGGGAAATTACTTCCAGTCTCAGCTGCACCCTGTAATGTCCAGGTAGAACTAGACCTGGTACCTCACCTACACAGGCGGACTTGCAGCTGTCCTCGTCTGGGTAATTGTTCTTGTTTCCTCTGCAGCCACCAAAGATGAAAGTCTGACAGTTTCCGGTCTCTTTGTTGTAGAACCAGCGCTGTATGGAAGCTCTGCAGGGTCCAGTCTGATATTTTGCTTCACACTTCTCTAATCGGACAACCACACACATGTACAACACTTTACCAGACCTGCTCATCATGCTATAATTTTCTTAGAGACATAGCGGGTAGTCAGAAGGAAAATCCAGTTGAGTGTCAATAGGGTAGAAGAGAAACATGTAGGTTCACAGACGTCTCATTTGACCACCAGGAAACACAGAAACCCACAAAGCCCAGAGGATTCGCCCAGACCACAGGGAACCTCCAGGAGGAGAAGCCCTAAAGACCACCAAAACATGCTCCCAAAGATCAATCACTCTTGGCATTTCCAGAATGGTCACAAATTAAGCTCCACAACCAGAACCAAACCCACTAGCACACCAAGAGGACTAAGTGAAACCTACCTGCATAGTCATCAGTTTGGATTTCTGCAGGAAATGGAGAAAAAGTTCAATGACTGACTTGCAGCTCAGAGTCACAGGACTTCAACTCTAACCGCTCTGCTTCTTGTGGTGCATTTACATCGAATGTGAAAGCAGTGAAAATCCGCAGATTGATGCGCTTTTCCTTGTTTGACACTTCGCCAGAAATTTCCCTGGTAAGATACGCAATTGCAACGGGAGGTAAAACGGCTCCAACACTGTTACTTTGGAAATCCTAAGAAACTCGCCGGAATCTTTGAGTCTGACAGATCCTACAGAGATGGTCCCAGTTTAGTGTTTCCACAAACTACGGTCGCTTTCCACAGAGCTGTATGTAAGGTGAGATGGCATTCTGAAGGCGAGACTGAAGCAGCACGGAATAAAAGTGCAACAACTCCAGCAAAGAGATCACAAGAAACAGCCGTTTTCACGATACAAATATACAAAAAACATATTTGTTGTATAATTTGTGTATATATATAATAAGATGCAGGTGCGCCTTCTAAGTATTCGCCCAATGACATGCCTTTTTCTGCTCAGTCTCGCAGTGCTCATGAGCCTCCCCCTGCGTGAACATTATGCATGTTGATACAGTGCAGAGAGATATTCGAATTTGGTTCGAACGCATCTTAAAATTATATTCACAACAATTTCTGTGCAACGCACCTGGTGTTGGTTACATGACATTTCAGCTCCCTGCCACAGACACCACAGTAAAATTCCACCCAGCCACTTTAAGCCTCCTTCTACTTCACAGTGTTACACCATATTCTGTGCCCCATCATATATTGCTACCCATGGGGCAAAGAATATGGTTTGTACTGATCACTAAATAGGCGCTTGAAATGTATCCTTCCAATCTCAGACTGTTAGGAATCACTCACTCCATGCACATTTGATGTGAACGCACCGTTAAACAGAACTAGAAATCACAATCTAAAATGATATGCTGGGCAGTTTGTTTTTCTGAGGCAAACACTGATGCTTCATGGATGCATGGTAGATTGCTTCAGTAAGTGAGTTTGTGAGGATTTACCAGTCTTCTTTAGAGGGGCGGACTCTAATGGTGCCATCCGAGGAGCCTTGGGAGCCGCTGGGGGAGGGGAGGAAGTCTGGTCCTCAGTAAGAACTGAGCCTGAAAAAAAAAAAAACAGGTTACAATCAAGTTCTAGATGCTTTATAAGCAAGTTATAAATGAAATATTGGCAGCCCAGATTTGTTCCCACTAAATATGTTCCTGTAAAGCAACTATTCTGTTTTGTCTTAGAGGAACATTTCTGAGATGCATCAAACATTTACTGGAGAGGAGCAGGTGAACATTAACATTTCATTGCAGCTTTAAAACTTGTTTTCTCTGCAGGATAAATGCATGAGCTTTTCTCTGCAGCCCCGCCCTCTGATTGTTGTTGTTGGTTATCTGAACTGGGAGCGGCACCACGTACCGGTTCCCTCCCAGTGTGCGCTCAGATTTCAGAGTGTGGTCATTCTGATGATCCAAAAAACAAACACAGAAACTTAAAAAGTATGCGAACAAACGGGAAGAGGTCAGACAAGCCCCAAATTTAAAACCTTGGACTGCTATCAGGAATCAAACATCATATCTAGACATCAAGGCAAAACTTTAAACACATAACTCAACTATAAAGATTTCAGTTTATCTCAAAACCTCTTCATTTTCAGATAAATCAGAGATTAACCAAAATCCAAAAACCAAAAATATCATTAGTTTTCTAATTCATCTGTTTTGTTAGCAGTTCCCCTTGTAATCCCGCAGATGACCTGCTCAAACACTCCTGCAGTCCGACTTGAATCTTGTGGAATCTTTGGTATGACCCAGGACCAAAATGTTCCTACACTCCAACTGGTATGGATCTATATTTACCTCAGTGCTTTCATACCTGCCAACCACTTAGTTGATTTCCTGACTAACTGCTTCGTGTGGTTTCTATTAATTCGTTTTCTCCAGTTGAATGTTGCTGTTCCCAATGAACCCCCCAATGAAAACCGGACCACCAGAAGCTCGGTGAGAGAAGCTTACCAGTGACTCCACTGCAGGTGGCCTCACACTCTCCCTGGGACACGAAGTTGTTGCCGTTGGCCTCGCAGCCGCCGAAGATGAAGGTGCTACAGCTCTGACTTGTCACATTGTAGAAGAACCGGGGGAACGCAGCCCGACATGGACCAGTCTTCTTTGGCAGACGGCAAAGATCTGAGAAAGAGATGAGCTGAAGTCAGCTTAACCCGGGACGAAGGTTGCTTCAAATGTACCATTAAATTGAAATGTAAAAAAATGAAAAACAGATTAAATATAATTCTTAAAAGAATATAATTTAATCCTCTTTTTTTTAAACGCATAAAATTAAATATAATTGTCATTAACCCACTTTGTATTCATTTCTTGTCTTTCCTGCAGCAGGAATAAATTGATCTAAACTAGAGGTCATGGATTAGCGGACCACTATCCGGATCCAGACCCACCTGCTGGCTAATCCGGACACAACCTTATTTAAAGTATTTATAAAATTACTGCATGTTGTGTGATAACTTAATGTGTGCCGCTTCTCCTGTTAATATGGTAAAGCCTTCCAGCGCCCCTGGGACCAGGCTACACGTGATACAAATTAGCCAATGAGCTGCTCTCCGACTGGGTTGCTGCTGCTGCTACTTTTAGACACAGCAGGCAAACCTGCGGCAAGTCGGGCGATGAGAAAGAAGATGATGATGAGAAAAAGAGAGCAGAGAAAGTGTGGACTGCTGGAAGAACTGTGGTGAACTGTTGAAAGAAAAGTGAAATGGTGCTCAAAGATGACCCTGCACATTTTTGAGTACGTTTGGCTCAACCTGCTGCTGTGAAGCAGGATTCTTCACCATGAACAGAATCAAAAATAAATATTGATCTAGGCTCAAGAAGCACCTCGATATGAGCTCTAGAATGGCTTTATCTCCATTCAAAAAAAAAATAAAATAAAAGGAAGAAGAAAAAAAACAAAAACGGTCAGTTCAGGTGTTTTAGAAAAGGTGTGAATAAGGAAATTGTCTATATACCAAACTAAATGATTGTTGTTCTTTATTAAAAAAAAAGAAAAAAAAAAAAGAAAAGAAAATTTTCCAGTTTTTAATTTTTCATTTAAAAAGTAAATATATAGCATGGATGCATAAACACCAGCATTTTATTTCAGTGTTAAATGCTGTTTAAAGTAACGGATTATAATAAAAAATGTCCCTGTTCCTTTACTGGGTGTTGATTTTCTTTATTCAGACCCCGCTGATTTTTAATTACCCCTGATCTAAACTGTCAACTTCCATCATATTTAGGGGACGGTTTCTGATTGGCTGATTCATACAGCAAGTCGGGAAAATACGATCCCAATTTCTTCTCACTCTGATTAATGTTTTTTCTGTCAAGGGCTGAAATAACTTCAGTTATATGTTGCAATTTATTTACCAAATCTGAGTCAGCAGCTCCTGTCTCCATTTCCCTAGTTTCATCTGAAATCTATAATAATACATCTCAAATTTGACATTATAATTCTTTAGGTGTTAATAATGTGTTTTTCTCAGGTTACTCAGTAAATGTCAGACATGCTTCTAGTAGCTGATGATCTAGGATCCCTCTCTGTAACACCAGTTTATATATATAGCGTCGATTCACAGCATGTCATCTGAAGGCAATTTAGAGAGATGATTCGACCAGAGCATACAGACAGATTGGTTTAAAGTTTTCTATTTAAAGGAGAACCAGCTGATTGCAATCCCTCCCTACATCTCTGACGTTTCTGTGGTTTTACTCCTCACAGCGTGGTTGATCTAATCTTTACCAAACATACACTCATGTCATAGTGAGGAATAACTGACTACCATATAAAACTAATTTTATATTTATTGATGCAATACTGTTTATCATGCGTCCATGGTCATATATATAGTTTTAAGCATAAACCAAACTGACCAAATGTTGACTCCTACATGCAGTCATTAAATGAGTAGTGGCAACGATGGCATTTTTAGTGAAACAAAATAAGCTTAGTTTCTTACTAAACTCTAAAAACTTGTTTTCCCTTCCATCCACCTTGTAGGTTTGATGTTGAGTGTTGAATGCAAACAGTTCAATGTTTATATGCAAACTAAATTTACATTTCATATATTAAGAGTTTAACTATAAAGGACAGAACTGTTTCTATTGGCGCAACTAGAGGCTGACAGAGGAGCCTCCATGTTGAGATCTGATTACTAACCCAAACTGATTGATCACTAGTGCGTACATGATAAAATTCACCTATTTAGCAATAAGATGAAAAAAACTGAGACATTGCTGTAAGCTACAAGAGTGTGGAAAACTACTGAGTCCAACTTTCTTCCTCATTAAGGTTTGTAAATATTCCTTCAACAGAAAAACATGTCATTTTACCAGAAGTGACACAAATAGGTCTAAGGTCTGTCTGGTCAGGATGTTTGTGGATAACCCACAGGCCCCTTCTGCGGTTCCTCCCACAGCAGCATTTGTCCACACAGTATACACGCCTGCGTCACATTTCTGTTGTCTTACACTATTTGTAGACCAGCACACTAAAGAAACTGCAAAAAAATATGAGTGATTTTTGTTCTTGATGCCCTTAGAGATAACATTTTTCTTTGTTCTAGCGGAGAGTAAATTGACCTTAATTTCCACACAAATAAACAGTAATCTTAGCAAAAACAAAAAAAAGACCTGGTGGTTTCTTGGTTGTATGTATAAAACGCCCCATTTATTGAATGTGTTAAAACTATCGGTCAAAATGAAAGCCCAACTTCCTTTAACATCTGAACTCACCCACTAAAGTGCAGATAATGTTAATCAAGTACATGTCCTGCTTGCTTTTAGTTGCAGGTTCTTGGATGCGGGACACAAATCAGCAGGAAAATGAGAGGGTTGATCAGGGAAACCTGCTCATAAGCAGCAGTGCGGGGATTGTTGAGAACAACCAGTTTTCTTTCAAACCATGTCTGTGCCTATTGGCCAACGCACTGACCAATGAGCGCAACTGATTGTGACATAGTAAGCGCTACAGGAAGCTGGTGGGAGGGTGTAAACAAACAGCTCGTCGGTAAAACGTAGAATACGTCCTTCTTAAAAATGAATGAGCGTAGAGACTCTTCCTGCTCACGTTTCAACGAAAACCCCAAGTCTAATCCTTCCAGAACTGACTGTTAAGTTGAGTCAAACGACAACTGTTCAAGAGATGTAGCCATCTTTCTTGGTGTGCTTTCTCCAGCGTCGTGCAGCTTTGTTGTCCCGCCCTCAAAACCCTGCCCGCTTTGCATCAAGAAATTCAAAACACATCCCTGCGTTGTGATTGGCCTGCCAGTTCTAGGGCTTGGGGCATTGATGGAGGCTAGACCACTCGCAGGCAAAAATGATTTTGGCCGCTGGCGGGTGGGGCTAGTTTACTAGGCTAGCATTTACCCATTCTCTATTTTTTTTTTCTCCGCCTTGAGCTTCTTTTTTCAAACATATGGCTTTACGATCAACCGAAAGCAGTTCCCCACAAACACACGGAACCAGCTATATCTGACGAAATTGTGAGTGTGTGTTTTTTTTTTAATAAAGCATTTTAAATGCCACAATAATAACATTTAATAAATGTTAATGCCAATTAAGGCCTTTGTTAAAAAAAATTATAATTTAATAATTTTTAATGACCTGCAGAAATCCTGTTCATGATAAAATGTGTATGTTGGTGTTGGACCTCAATTAAAGCCAGTCTAAAATTTCAGAGTGTGAATGTGGCTTGTTTTATTTTTCCTGCAAGCTTTTTAGCAAACCAGAAATGCCCAAAAGAGCGTAAATTCAAGCGAGTTTGATTTTGTACCTGTTTTACAATCAATACTGGAAGGATGCCAACGTTAGCCTGCTCTGCTATCACCATTCCCATTTTATTCCGATCAGGGACTCACCTGCTGCTCCTGTGACTTCTTACCTAACGCGTAAAGGTGCATTTGTCAAATAGAAGGAGCTTCAGAAAATGTAATGGTTATTGCTTAATCAGGGTTGGTTTCATGAAAACTGTCATTTGTAAAAAGAAAATAAAAAATAAGAGAAAAAAGATAATGTGCTACTGCTTTTTTTCAGAGATAAAGATTATCATTTAGGTCCTCCAAAGGCCGCTCTCCCCCCATTAAGCTCCAAACTGAATCAAAATGATCCACTTTTCAGTGCTATTTGATGTGTGCAGGTAAAACTGGTATTAGTGCCGATTTGGTTTATAAAGATCATTTATCATTTAATCATTTTTCATTTCAGCTAATGAGTAGCGCATGTTATCGCTGCTATTTTAGAATATAAAGTTATTGCATAACATCACATTTAATTCCTGTGCTGCCGTTGGATATACCAGTGTGCCTTTTTACCTTATTTAGTGGCTGGAATGATTGCTTCACAATATTCAAGAATTAATCAGCCTCCCAGGTCCCTTAGTTTAGATCTGCCATTACCCCTTAACAACCCCATAACATTTCCGGTCAAGGTCTCACTGTCGGGACTTCAAAATAAAAGCACGGAGGAAACGTGACATTAGAGACTGCTGCTAAATAGTTCTCTATGCACAACCTTTGAATCTGCTTAGACTCCATCAACTTTGGAAAAGCCCAAAAGCGCTTGTAAAGTAGATCACGGTAGGAATCGGGGGTACCTCCTTGTAGCTCTACCCACACAGAAAGCACTTTTGCTAGGTAGAGGGCAGGGACAGGCCGGGGTCTGTCCTGGAGGTGAGGGAAGAAGACCAAAAGTCCTTCTAGGGCTAAATTAAAATGGCGTTTTTAAAAAGCCACCTTAAAACCTCTTCGAAGCATTTCTTATTTAATTCTTTATCAACATTATTTCCTCTATATTCCATTTTAACTGAAAAAAAGCTTTGTCTTGCCTGCACTCGTTTTAACCTTCATCTCAACCATAACCAGTACCTGATTATTTGCCGCAATACGATTTAATACAGGGGTCTTCGATGTTTTCCAGGCAAAGGACCCTTTAACTGATGGTGTGATGGAGCAGGGACCCCCTAATTATATATATTGTGTTATATCAAACTGGTCCTATAGTCAGCCTATTACAGATGGAGTAATCCGACGAAAGTAATTTCTCCCTGGGATTATTGATGACTGAAAAGACATCTTCTGCCTCCATTTGTCTATTTACTACAGTGTGTTGAATTCATGATAAAGTGTATTTAAAGACATTTCAATTAGCGGAAAAAAATTGCAAGGGGGAATATATATATTAAAAAAAGTCTAATCAACCGAAACCTTTGCGAAACCCCATTCAGTACCTCTGTGGACTCCTAGGGGTCGCGGACACTGTTTTGAAGACCTCCGATTTAATAGAATGGTTCAGATTTTTCAACTTCAAACATCACTGCTCTGCTCTCTCCATGCGGTGCTGCTGTTTGACAACACCAAAATTCTATCGAGTAGCACGAGTTGAGAGCGGAACAGTGACCTCTCTCACCGCTGGCCGCTTCCATGCACGGTTTGGATAGGGATACTGTGTAAATCCACCACCGTTGGACCGAATACAACAGGAAACAAACCCTGGCTACCTGCTATTGTTGCTAAGGTTACATCCACATGAATGTGTTTACACAAGAGCAATACTTGTACATACCCTCCCAAGAAAAAAGGTATGAAAAGGGGTCTAAATGAGCTCCATTTCATATTTTTCCTTCTATATTTGATTTATAAAAAAATTTAAAGTACATTTCAGAAGGATTGCATAAATAAAATACCAGGTTATGACTCCTTTATCTACTTTTTTGGGTTCTGAAGCAGAAAACCGGGTCCAGAAACCTCAAAGTTATACATTTTTGGTCCCGTCCTGACCCAACTTAGTCTGTGAGGCTAAAGGCATAACCATACAGTATTTGTTGCAAACTTAGACTAGACTAGGTACGGTTGGTTTATATCAGCTAAATGAGATCTGATCTGTTAAGAGGGAATAAAACCTAGGATATGAAAAGGCTAAAATGCCTTGTTGTTAGTCCAACCATGGAGCAACATATATATTCCTAGACCTTAGGGAAACCTAATACTAGGTTGTTGATCTGAAAACTATGAACAGCCGCTTAAAGACACCGAAAAAAACCTGCCCTTAAAACAACCCGGCCCAAAATCTTTCCAGAATCTGCTGTCAACGATCAAACTCAGAACTTTCCAGTGGAAGTTATCTAATTCTTTCATGGAATCATGTTGGAAGAAAACCACACATGGTGATTCATCCATAAGAGGAAAACTTAAATTCTTGGGAATATAAACAGGAAATTAGGTCAGACACATCTGAAGGCTTTGTTTACCAACAGCTCTCTGGAACCCACTCCCCCACATGCTGAACAGATAATCTAATCTGAATCAACACAAAGGCATTGTGAGGTGTCGTCAGCTCTGGGCCTGCGCCTCAGGTGTTCTGAAAAACTGAACTATCAGGAACCAGAGAAACTAGTCGGACCTGAGCTAATCCACAGTCGGCAGTGAGTCATCAGCTACCTGTATAGCTGAGCAGAAAAGAGCAGATTGTTATCGTGGATCAGGTGGTACTGAGGTGTTACTGGAGTTCAAACTGCTTAGAACACAATGCAAATTTCCAACCCTAAAATGTTCACATTGATTTTCTAAAGTAAGTATTAATGTACTTTGTCTCATGCATACATATATTTCTTAGTATATTCTTCTATACTATATAAAATAGTTTATCAAAAAAGTAAACTGCCTGTTTTTTGTTTTGTTTTTATACTTATACAATATACAATAACATGAGAGATTTGGGTCTGTTCCTTTTGGATGGGCGCTGAGTTTCATCTAGAGCTGAAACAATTAATCAGATTACTCATGATTAATCGATTATTGAAATAATTGTCAACAAATTTAGCAATCGATTAATCGTAACTGGGGTCTAAAGACCCTAAAACATGCCCTTAGCTGACAGAGTGACCCACTTAGAGAAGTAATTATATCCAATTTGTGAGGAAAAATATCTTGACATTTTGCACTTAAGATAAAAAAAAAATTGTCTGTGGTTAGGGTTAAAATAAAAAAAAAGTTAGCTGATTTTTTAAATAGTATTTCAGTTTAATATGGGGAAAAAAGTCAGAATTCTGACTTTAATCTCAGAATTTGGACTTTAATCTCAGAATTCTGACTAAATTCTGATAGGTAAACATGTTTGCATCAAGCTCTAGCCATGTCTGTTTTAGAGACTAAACTAGCCCTCTTCCATTAATGAAATAACATCACCAGGGACAGAATTCAGAGATTAAAAGTCAGAATTCTGACTTTGCTCCCATATTAAACTGAAAAAAAAAAAAAAAAAAAATCAGTTAACTTCTTTTCATTCTTTCAGTTTTCCTCTTCTGTACTATCCAGGACTCCTCAGGTGGAAAAAATTTAGTTTCACCTGGTTTAATTCCATAAAAAGCCTTCTTAAAAGGAACTTTTTGCTAGCCGATTATTAATCTATTAATCAAGAAAATAATGGACAGATTAAGTTGCAGAATAATCGTTAGTTGCAGCCCTAATTTAATCAGAATCATCTAGTTCTGGTGGTTTAAGTCTTTCTTATTTCAGACCAGAACCCAAACAAGGTTTCCCAGCCTGTCAGTTTGGCTCAGCAGGACAAACAGGAAGTAGTTGAATAGATGGAAAACACCTGATCAGACTAAACTGCGTCACTTATAATTAACTCAGCCAATAATGTTGATCGGAAGCTGCTAAACTGATTAATTAATTTAATCCCTTGTCTCACCGCTGTTAGTAGCGTTGCTCTTCGGCTCCTCAGCCTCCATCAGCGGGACGACATGGATCTTGTCCCCGCCTGCGGGCTCTTCCTGCTCGGCCCGGTTCTGGCTCTTCTTTCGGTACACCTGGAACTGGGAGCTGCGCTGCAGGCTGCAGCCCCCGGTGCCGCAGCTCACCAGCATACACTGCATCCCTCCGTCCATGGGCAGCCCGATCAGAGCCAGGTCACAGTCCGAGTCCTGGCAGCAGGCGGTTCGGCAGGTCTCCGCATCAGAAACCTCCTGGATGTGGCCCAGGTAGCGCGCTCCCGCTTTCAAAGCGTCCGGGGCGAGGTTCTGGTTCGGATCCGTGGACTGGTCCCAGTCACAATTCTGGGTCAGCCCGGTTTGGAGGAGGAAGCAGAGCGCAATAAGCTTCGCTTGGAACATTTTGGCAAACAGAGCCTGAAGTCACCAACTGAGAGCGTCTTTGTTCTGAGCACAAGTCGTTCACTTCCGCCAGTTTGTGTCGCACTTAACTTTACCTGCGACAGGTGGTCACAGAGGCCACGCCCTGTGCGACACAACAGCTGAGTGGCAGCAGACTTTTTCTTTTTTTTTATTATAACCATCATGTACAACAGGCAAGTATCAGCATATAACCTGAAAACCAGGAGAAGCAGACCCAGGTTGCCTCCTTATATACATGATAAGTAGAACAAAAATAAACAAACTAACAAGAACCCCCCCCCCCCCCCCCCCCCCCCACACACACACACACACACTTAAACACAAATTAGGGGTGTCTCATCAGTGCCAAATTGTTTATCATATTATACAGTTCTGCATCTTGTTCTTTGTCCACAGAGATGTCAAGTACTGGACTAAAATACACTTTTTAAGTATCTATACTTTACTCAGTGGTGTCAAAAGTACACACATTTGGTACTTAAGTAGAAGCATAGATACAGCAGTTTAAAAACACTCTGGTAAAAGTTTAGGTATCAGCTTGACCTCTTTACTCAAGTAAAATTGAAAAAGTATGTGCTCCAAAAACTACTTAAAGTATAAAATAACCTTAAAAAAAACAGCCAGATGCCACTATATGAATGGAAAACAATTTTTTTGATTTAGAAAAATTCTTTGTGGTTCTTACCGCTAATCTTTAAAACTGGGCTCTGATTTTAAACTTGAGTTCAGATATCAAATCACTTCTAATAAGAAGCTGATCTCGTTTGTGTTGCTTTTATAGTCAGAAGGGGAAACTCCATTTAGAGCATTTCTGAATTAACCAGATGCAAAAGTATTAAAGAAGTGGTTCTTCCCTTGCAAAAGTAGGCTGACATTTGTTTTACTCTCCCTTTAGTTTAATAACTGTTTTTAAAACAACAGTGATGTCAGCATTGCTAAAACTAGCAATGATATCTGTTTACTCCTTGTCAGACCGATTATTATACTCGTATTTTGTCACAACTGTATCTATGTCTATATCTCCTAACCAACTGGGCCTAATCAGGGTTTTGATGAGATGTTTAGATTCAAAGTATTTGCTGTGAGGATGAAGTCTGTTCAATAAAGAACCTCCACCAGTGGTCCAGGCTGTTTTCCTTAATTAAGTGAAAAAAGTGATATAAACAATTATTAGTCAAGTCACCAGTGGAGTCAGGCTTTAGGTGGAAACTCACAGGGTGCATTTGTTAAATTCCTAACCACGGTTCTGGAGGGCATGGAGAACAGAGCAGTAACCTCTCCCTGCTGCTGCAGCAAAAAGGCAAGGAGTCCTTCATTACACAACACAGAGCTATTTAGCTTTATAAATAGCCTACTTGCAAAGAGAGACAAAGACTATGGGGTGGATTTTGTTCCACTGTTGTTGCAAGCAAAGAACTGATTTTGTAAATTAAAATTTGAAATGAAAAAAACAAAAAAACAAAACAAAAAACACATCATCTATGTAGAAATTGTAAAAAAAACTAAACAAAAAAACACATAAAAGTATTATATATATATATATATATATATATATATATATATATATATATATATATATATATATATATATATATATATATATATATATATATATATATATATATATATATATATACTATAGCCAAACAGGAAAGGGCCTTCTCAGAAGGCCCTGTCCTGACACTCTGTGTAGCCAAAATGATGATAAAAGTTGTCTAGGTCTAAGTTCACTTCAAGCACTTCACTTGAAACATAAAGGAATGTTGTTGCTTGTATCCCCTGCCGAGCAATAAAAATGCGTTTTCTACTCTCCATCCAGAGGAAAGCCGCCACAGACGAAAATAAAACTCAATCTGAAAAAACAAAAGTACATAATCTTGAAAATACAATATAAGAAGATTAAATGAAAACAGGTGAATAACTCTCAAAACCTTTTTTGATCCATTTATTTTCACAGACTTTTGTTTAATGATTCATAAAAGCAGAAGGAAACAAATATTTCAAAACCTTCTGCGCCCTAAACAGATCTGGATAAGTAAACGAATGGGGACAGAGAAGGCAGTCTGGCTGTTAGAGGAATGATGTGATTCAACAGTAAAAAATGTCTGTTCATATTTCATATCAGATTGTCTTTTACTATCTTCTTCCCAGAAGGCCAAGTCCTTGGGCTAGACCGAGGTTGAAGATTACCAAAGACACTTGTTACTGACTGGGGGCCAAGGACAAAACAATTCACAATATAAAATGGTAACTGGGATTTTATCATCCTAAGCTGGGTTATTACATCTTGAATCAAGGTGCTGCAGCTTTCAAAGTAAAAGCTCAAAGAAAGTAGCACCTACTGGTTCATTAAATAATCATAAAAGTCCGTACTTTATTGTTAGATACAACAGCCACGGATTCGCCCATCTGATCTTTCAATCACCTGGATGGTGACGCTTTGGCTGGGGCGCAGAAAAGGTCAGAGATCAACAGCATGGGCATTGCTTTAAGGTTTCCTATGATGCATTTGCTTTAAGATCTCCTGTGTCTTTATAGACAGCAAAATCAAGTTTACATTTAATTCAGTAATTTAATTTTCTGACGAATTTGAACATATATAAACTAATTCAAAACGCTTAGAAATAAAAACAGTTAAATACTTGTCATTGTTTTCTCTGTCTGTCAGCTGTTCAGGACCATGTGCTCATTTTACCCAGTTTACCTGTAATTTTCTTTTATTGTTTTTGTGAGTTTTCTTAACAGGGATTAGAGGTCGGAACACTTTTTGGATTCGTTCATATTTTTGGTTGAAAATGAAAACCACCATTTTTTTTTTCTCCATCTTTCTGTCCTGGGATCAGATTGAATCTCTTTGGCGCCATCTAGTGGCCATAAAAAGTCATCAGACTCCATCTGCGACGAGAGTGATTAGAAACTCTTTTTGTTGTTTCTATCAACGATGTAACTTTGTGAATAAAGTTGTTGGGGTCACTCTAAGGGTGGGGGCTGATGGACCTTTGATTAGGCTTTTGTATTTTCCAAAAATTAGCTCAAACACATATGTATTGAATGCTTTCCTATTGTTGAGAACACAGGAGAACCATAATACCCTGATATTTATATTTACAGATAGAGAGATGCCTTTTAGTGCATTACATATATAGGGCTCAGAAACATTGTTATAAAAAAAAATGAATAACAGCAATTCTAATGCTAAAATCGATAAACCATGCATCCCTAGAAGTACAATTTCAAATCCATCCAGAAAAATATGGATATGCTTCATTTTAATAATATCATAGCATAGTTTTTCTTCTTGTAAACTTTCTGTTAAACTTGGAGATCTATTTTATTGGATGTTGCATATCCCAGTAAATGTTTCGCCTTTAAATCTGCAGCTCTCCCTAGTTCTCTCTGTGCTCTGTTTAAAAAAGATTTATAAAACTATTTACTAATGTAATGATGCCAGAAACAAAATGTAAAGATATGTAGAAGCTCTGCTATCTGATTCTGTCTGTACAATAAGATAACATTTTAATTTTAACCTGTAACTGGGGGTCATGGTCCTCTGAGAAGCCAAGCTTTTATAACTAGTGAAGAAGAATAAACTATGTTTTCTCAAGTTTCTCACATTATAATACTAACTCGTATAAACTTACAATCTGTTGCAATGTTTAGCTGAAAAAGCTTTGTATGTCTTTTGGTGGCATCTCTAATTTTTTTAACCAACCCGTCTCCTAACTTTTACTTAAAAATCGAAGTAGATGCCGGTTAATATTCACTGAGTGCTGCTGTGTCTCTCCTCCAACCATGCAGTGACTCTGTATGCAGTGAAATGCGACTGCCAATCAGATGTCTTAAAGTGACAGATCTGAGGATGTCACAATGAGAGGCAGGACACGGGAGCAGTGCGAGAGGAAAAAAAAAAAAATACACGGCCTCGAAACGCTCTGAACACAGATAGCTGCACCCAACCTCTCTTACTTCTGGCTACAGTAAATGAGCGGAAAGTGGAAAAAAAAGCAGAAATTGTTATTATTTATTTATTTTTGTTGAGTTTTTACGCAACTAGTGGCTTGTTTTTCTGACATTAGGCTGACAGGAAAGGGGGTATGAGAGAGGGGAATAGAAATGCGGGAAAGGACCACAGGCTGGATTCAAACCCAGGTCGCCCGCGTCAAGGACTAAAGGGCAGATTAGACTTCTGCAACCGCACAAGTCGTGAACCAGTTTTGCTGGTATGCTTCTGCACCGTCGGTCTGGAATTTCTAGGGATGCACAGCAGTTTCCCGTCAAAGTGCAAGAGGTAGCCTATTCGAAAACTCTCAAGAACTTTGGTGGATGGTCACAAGAACTTCAGTGGAGCTGGCGGGAGTGTCTTCCAAAACAACAATGCCACATCTGCTAGATATCATGGTCATGGAGATGGATCTAGAGTTGCTAGTCATCAAAGAGGAACATGTTCTGTTAATGGCGTTGGCAAAAAGACAAAGGAGGACGCATAGGTTGTCCATTGTAGTTGTTCCTCGGTTTTTAAAAATGGCGTGCCCCGGTACCAAATCGAAAAGGACGACCACACAGACACTCGGAAAGGCATACCAAGAACCAATCACAGCTGCTTTTTGTCTGCGCACTTCCGCTTGAGGTCTGCGCGGGGTTGCGACCATCTGACGCGCAATCAGGATTTTGTTTCTATGTGCGCGATAACGGTTGCAGAACCTCTGTGTGGAACAGATTTGATGGTTACAGACGCTATGCGTCAGAAGCATAAATTGGCCTTAAGGCCTCCATACAGGGGTCGTGCGCACTAACCACTGCGCCACCTGCACACCTTTCCTTCAGAAAGTTTCGCCTGTGGTATCTATGGTGCAGTGGCTGTTTTCTCACGCAGATCTTTGCTGTGAAAACTACTTAAACAATTCAATATATAACATGGATGCATAAAATCCTGCTTTTTATTTCAGTCTTAAATTCTGTTTAAAGTAACATGTAACCCACCTGAAGGGTAAGTGACACTGGACCAGAATGTTCTAGATTCGTAAGAGGGGTGATGATGAAGAAAAAAACAGTAAGACACCGATTGAG